TAAATAATGTGAACGAAAGTCTACAATAAAGAGCAACTGAACTGTGTCGANATTCTAAATTTATATATAAAAAAAGGGAAAAGGAAGTTGTTTTCTTTTATTTTTTTCTTCGTGTTTTTATGTTAAGCTGTTCAAAGAAATTCGAAGTTTTTCCATCTCGTTTCTTCTACGAGGATTATATTACTCTAAAATAAGAATATTTTAAATAAAAATGAATTGATTTGACCGAATAGTGTAGGCAGTACAGGAATCATTCTGCTATTTTAAATATTTTCCAACAGTGAGGCACTATAAATTATTTGAAAACAATTTACTATTAAGAAGAGTGTCAGGATAATGTGAGCCGATCTGATGCAGGGGATGGAAATGATCCTTTCTGCCACCCAAAACAACAGTAAGTCTAACCTGAGACAAAATAGAAATTAGACAATGGAACAATCAGATGCGGATTCAGTCTTGTTGACTAAACTAAAGCAAGGATAGTCAAAATGGAGAGAAATCAAATAGAAGTAAAGAAAGACGATTATAAATCAGGTTAAGTAAAATTGAGAGTCTGTCAAATGCATTCGAAAACAAATTGTGGATATAATAAAGGAAATTAATGCATTTACATGATGATCGAGATGACTGAAAGGAAATACTGGTGAAGATTTAATGAGATAAATTAACAACTAAAGGAATCTGAAGTTGTCACTTTTCCCCTCCTGATAGAGATAAGCTTCATAGGAGAAGGCTAGTGTAATCAATAGATCAACAACTCGAAATACGTAAAGAAGAAAGTCTGGTATTCTGGCTTTGTTCATTAATTTGGGTTTGAGTTTGTGGCCTCTAGGAAATTGAAGCGGTTTCAGGAAATTTGGTGAATTGACCAATGTGTTTGGTCAATTCACAAAAACTAAACTGTGAAGAACTACGTTCTTCACAGTTTAGTTTACAATAAAGTCTACAATAAAGAGCAACTGAACTGTGTCTACAATAAAGAGCAACTTATTAGTGTGAACTAAAGTCTACAATAGTGTGAACTAAATAATGTGAACTAAAGTCTACAATAAAGAGCAACTGAACTGTGAGGAACTACGTTCTTCACAGTTCAGTTGCTCTTTATTGTAGACTTTATCGAATCCATAACGAGAATGAAAGATCTCAGTAGCTACAGATTATAAATAATTATTTAAGAAATCAATCGGAATCACATTAATTTAACGGTAGAACGTATATCATTTAATTAAAAAGATTAAGAGAATGTGATTAGGAATTATGATATTAATCTTAATCAAATTTTATATAATAGAAAGAAATAATTTGATTCAGGGAATAAATCTAATAGGATTAATTACATAATGTTAAATGTTTTCTAGTTATTTTATTAGAGAAATTTCTTTTAATTATAAATAATTATCCTTTCAAATATAAATAAAATATGAGCCTAAATAATTGAATTTGCTTCCATAAAAATTCAATTCAGCCAGTAATTAAAAATTATATAATATATTTAATTAGTAATTTGACAGGAAAAAAAAGCCTGTTTTATTTAAAACAAGCAAGAGAGATTGCTTCTAAGTATTTTTGTTTTTATTAATTGTTAATATATGTCAAAAGTTATTAAACTTTGTAGGCTTTTTAAAAAATATTTTCTCATATTTTTTTAAAGATTTTCAAGATAATATATTTATTGTAACGGCTTAAATTTCGTAAAATGATTACTTTTAGGCTGCAATTTGAAAAGAATTATAGACATATAAATTTTCACTGTCCCTCCTTAATCTAGAGAACAAAGTTAGATGGATGAAAGTTGAAATCGTAAAAGAAAAAACACCGGATTAACTATATATGAACTTCTGATTTGTATCGGAAGTCAAGTTATTTCAATTCAAAATCTTTTCCTGAAAGATGTTAGTAGTGTCTTGTGTACATAATACTTTTCCTGTTAGCAATAGAGTCATGCAGTCATCTATCTAACTCCTTTCAGGGAAAAACGTTTGAATTGAAATAACGTGACTTATTATATAAATCAGAAGATCATATATAGTTAATCCGGTGTGTTCTTTCTCTTACGATTTCAATTTTCATCCATCTAATTCTGTTCTCTACATTAAAGAAAGACAGACAGACGGATGGACGACTGTGGGAATGTATAGGTCTATAATTTTTTCAAATTGCAGTCGAACAATAGAAGAAATTATCATTTAACACCACCATTTATTGGAATTAAATCGAGTTTGACGATAAACTGGGGACTATAGATTACCCCAAACAATAAGAATAATATATAATAATGGGTGTTTGAGAGTGAAAATCATACGATTTGGTTATAGCAATGTCATTTGCTGTGCAAAATCATAGATTTAGTAATTTACAGATACTAAAAAGTTCTTTATATTTATGAGAAAACGTTCACAAATATTCACTGACTCTTTATGGGAGTGATACTATTTACGAGGGTTTTTTATCGTATACTTAAGACATCCAATAATGTAATATCTTACATCTGTATCTAGCTATTTCTACACGAACGCTTTTTATTGATGAAACGTGCGCTTCTATATCAACCACTTTCGAATTCAATTATTTTTAGAATAATCATCATTTAAAAATGACCAATTTTAACGAATGGCAGATAGCTTTTATTTCTTCTCAAGTCATTTGAGGGCCTACGATTTGATTAAAATTTACATTTAATGTACAAAAAATAATGTTCCTTAAATTTTTGTTTATTGTTACAGCAACGCCGTAGTGATTCTAGACACTACTGCGTTTGATTTCGTCGACATATTGAAATTTTCCTTTTATTTTGATGAATAATTCGTCTACGTAAACGGGTTTTACAATATCTTTCCAAGTAAAGTACTGTACATATATATATTTCTCTTTGTAAAAATAAATATACTTTTATAAAACTACTTTCAGAAAAGTGGACTAAATCGAACTGTATACCTTCGATCTGTTTGTACTGTACTGTACATCAAAGAATTTTATTGTGAGCATTTTGATGTTTTATTACTAGGAAGTTGCTTCTTTCGTAGTTGTATTGTTGACCAAACAATATTGTTTTGTTTTATATGTTTTGCTTAATTTTATAAAAATAAACTTTCTTTTCGTTCCACTTTCAAAATCCAAATTTTTGGATTTTGAAAGTGGAAACATTCAGAATCCAACTTAATTTAATGAGCGATTGTATCTTTCTATACAATCGTCCATTAAATTAAGTAACGCCATTTTTACACTTTTCAACTAACATCTCATCCGTAACGACTCCGTAACGTTGTTGCAAATATCCTAACCCAAATATTACGTAACGCATAACGTTGGTTAATTCTTAATTGTACTTAGGAATCATACGTACCATAGGGTACCGAACATCACATTATTTTATTAATTGCGTGTTTAACGCGCAAAACAGTACTATAACAGTGTGATGCAGATACGGGTAATCGTTTCTATACATAACAAAGCAATGGGAGTGTTTACAAAAACGTTACGTAAATGCTAAGTTCTCAACTCATTTACTTTTATCTCTCATTTGATATTAATTAAATAAAAATGAATCACTCTGTTACCCACGGGTTGAAATTCTAGCATTTACGTTTTTTGTAGACATTCCTATTCCCCTTGTTACTTATAGTAACGTTTAAAGGTGAAATTTTGCAATTTATTTAAAATTTTCTAATTAATCAATAGTAAATATCTAAATAAAATTAAACTATTGTTCGATATAAATTAATATAATAAGAGTTTCTTCTACGTAAAGTACTATGTCGAGATCACAGATTTAAATTTAAATAGCGTAGTTGACTTTGAATAAAGATTCTTCGATAAGATTTTTTTTTTTTTTTTTTTGGTTTCTTTCACGATGCGGGCGTAGACGATTTAACAGAATTAAATGGTAATTTGCAGTACCATAATAGAGATAACACGAAGCACTTTCTGTACTCGAAGTAATTAAGTGTGTTCCTTTGTCATCATTTAATATATTCGTAATGTGTTTTCTGACATGGTTTTTAAGGATGTTCGGATTTTACTTATTTCGCGATTTAACGTATTTTTTCATCAGTTTCTTCATTAATTAAATTGGGTTTCTATTGTATCTTGATAACGCTAAAAATTTTAATATATTTTCAAGCATTTTTGAAGGACTAATTAATTATTCGATACATTTCTTTGATATTTTTATATGAATCTTTTCTATTTGTAAAGTGAATTTTTAATTCTGTTTTAAAGAAAATGTTTTGAATTGTTAATAAGGAATAATTAATTATGTGTTTGTTCTGTTTCTTCAACAAACAAAATTTCGTTACAATATTCTAAAGAAAAACATATTATAATTAGGAATATCTTACAATTCGTAGTTTTGAATATAGTTATTAATTTAAATATAAATACGGTGAATTCAGTTGAAAATAATGCTTCGTTAACTCATAAAATTCACCTGAAGATATATCTAAAAAAAGGCTCTTTAATGGATATTAGTGTTTTAGTTATGTATACCATATCGACTATCTTTTTCCTTTAGTTTTCCTAGTATGATTTAAATGTGTACAGTCGACCCCCTATAACACTGTTGATTATTTCGTTTTATATGAATTCCATGTTGTACGAGTCACTTAGATTTTACAAATAGATTTTGCCGGGCTATGAACGGCTCACGTATTTGTAAAATCTAAGTGACTCGTACAACAGGGAATTTATATAAAACGAAATAATCAACAGTGTTATAGGGGGTCGACTGTANTACTAAATATTTAAAATAAAAGCATTAAATTTGTTTATTTATAATATTAATTTAAATTTTATGACGTTTATATTTGCAATCTATCTTATTTAATCCTTTTCTTCAATTTAGGAATTTTAATTATTATTTTTTCCTCTAGAGTTTATTGATGAAATTAAAATCAAATACAGAGTAAATAAAATTAACGTGTCATAAAACATTATTCTATTAATATTTTATTTTTAACATAGTTTATTTTAATTTAAATCTTTAATGTTATGATTAATTACAGTTATCGTAATGTGCGCTTCTCCAGATGTAGTGAGAAATATCATGTTGACTGCTAATGATATGGGCATGGTCGATAGCGGAGATTATGTATTTTTTGATGTTCAGCAATTCACCAGGTAATCTTAAAAATAAATTTTAAATTAACATAAAGTTATTTATGTATTTAGTATATAAATAATTATATTTATTTTGAATTTTTACGATGTACACTACTTTCGTTTGCACTAAAAAACACAGGTGCAAAAGTTGTAAACAAATTTCCTAAATAATCACTTTTGGTTGTATATTCAAATAAATTTAATTAAACAAGTTCTAAAACAATAAAATTTTATTTTAAAGATGTATTAGGTTATGCTCTAACATTTTAAATTTAAATTAAAAGCGTGGGTTTCTTCATCTTAATAAACATAGTATTTGTCATTGTTGTTTTTCTGAGTTTTAATTAATTAACAAAGAAAGAGAATTCTACATTCCTCTAACTTTATTATCGATTTACTGACGAAGCCAATTTGTTATATACAAGAAACTTGTCACCGTGAGAATTATTCTTTGTTGCCAAAATAATCCTCTATACTCATTGTTAACTGCTTAATGTATTTGTAACTGCTTCTCTTTAGAGGAAAAAAAAACATTTGTCTTTCTCTGTATTCAAGGAAATGATTTAAATTAAAAGTTGATAATAAAGTTGGAAGGAATTAGGGAATTTTTTCCTTAATCAGATAAATTACCAGTGGTAAGAATTTGATCGTTACAACTGAAGGAATAATGTAACAAGTAACAATTTTAATTTGTCTTTTTAATTTAAATTTTAAGAGGTTTTTAGATAGTAAAGCTTGCAATGTTTTTATATGTTGTTTATAATAGGGAAAATACTAATAACACTTAGAATTTAGGCACATTAAAAGAGAACGTAAACAAAAATAATTAAATACAGCTTCTGTAAAACTGATTAAAGGCCTCATTTGATGTTTGAAAAGTTAAAAACTATTCATTTAATTTTCATGCTATAATTAATTGCATATTTTCGAAAAATAAATAAATATTATAAACATTTTTTATAAATTAACGATTAATTTTTAGTTATAATTATTATACATACATTAAATAACATGCTATTTAATATTATACACATAAGTTATATACATGTATTGATTAGTATTTTTAATGAATTTATATTTTAGATTATTTAAATTAATTAATATTTTACAAATATTAAAATCGAACAAATTATACAGCTTTATCGATGATATTATATACATACGAATTTTCTTCACTTGGGAAGACCATTGAGGACTGAAGAAGACCAAAATAAGAAAAGCCTTTAGATCTGACCATATTCCTATTGAAACCTGGAGGAGTAGAGAACTGGAAGGTAGAAATTGGCTTACATGGTTTTTTAATAAGATTACGGAGACTGCGAAAATCCTAGAAAAAGCTATAACTTTTTATAGGATAAAAGACATGTGCAAGACTGAGGATACTGTACAGGAATCAAACTCATGAACCATAACACGAAGCTATGGGAAAGAGTATTATATAGCCTACAAGATTACGTGAAGAAACACAAATAATAGAAAACTAGTTTTGATCTAGGAATTTCACGTGGCTTTCATCGACTTAAAAAATGCTTCGGCACAATACCACAAGTCATTTGCTGGAAGGTAGATTTGATGGGCGCTGAGAAAGGAAACGTTCCACATATGTTTAAATTATACGGAACATCTACGAAAGGCAGACAACAGTGCGCAGCGTATGTGGAGAACTGAAGAATTCTTGGCGAAGATGGATTTATACCAAAAAAAAATAATAATAATAAAATGCTCTTAGTCCATGTATTTTCACTGAAGTAAGGAGGAACTCACAAAACATATCCAGGAGTGGCACCTTATGCTGTTTGCTATTATTGATAATATAGCACAGAGGCACTGTAAGATAAACTTAATAAATAGACAGGATATTGGAACGGAATGGTCTTAAAATAAGCCGGAAAAAACAGTCTACCTACAGTAAACTGTTCTTTTTCTCAAATAATTCGTATGATAGCAGAAATGCGGATAGGACAGGAAGCTATTGAAAAGATACAAAACTTTAAGTATCTAAGATTAATATTGCCGGATGATGCAGAAATTGAGGAAGATGTCATCAATAAAATTACAGTTGGGTTGTTAAAATAGCAACAGACTGCGGAAGTAATCTGCAACCGCAAGGTATTATACCATTGCGCCTTAAAGAAAACATACAAGACAATTACATGCAAAACCATGTTATACGGATCGATTGTCTGAGCTGTTGAAAAGAAAAAAAAAACAGAAATTACAAATAACAAATATAAGAATTTCGCGATAGACATCTGCATTACTAAAAAAAGAACAATAAAGAATAAATTGTTCTCATTCTCTTAATATTGTTTCATACGTACTGGAAAAGACTGCCCTGTGTCGAATATCCGACTACGAAGCCTTTGGAATCTTATGGGAGAATTTCATCCGTTTGTCCGGTAGCCGGACACTGGATACTTAAGTGAAGATAGTGGAACAAAATCTAACCATTGTCCGGCATCGGACTCCAGATATCCATTGCCGGAGAAGCTGATGGTGCAGAACTTATTACGATTTTTCATATGATTCATTCGATAGTCATATGGCAGCAACAAGAATATACAGTTCTGAGGGTGTTCTGTTCATAGCGAGCATAGTAAACACTTAATGTTTAATCTGGTTGTAAATCGGAGATGTTTGAAAGTAAATGATCGTCAGGATACACGGCATAGGAAATCCAGCACAGGATAGATGTGTAATCAGGCTTAAAGTTAACACCCATAACCGATATAGTAAAAGACAGAAAGCTTTGAGAGGAACAATCTAAAAGCACTTTTATCCCAGTTACATAATCAGAATAAAGATGCAGCAGAAGAATATTATTTGAATAAATTTTCTTATAGAATTTATATGAAAATAAATTTTTTAATTGATTATAATGATTTATAAATAATATTTTAATTAATTACAAAATAATAATACAGTAAATGTAACCTATATAAACATAACTATGAATTATATATAACATAGTTCATACCCACCTTTATAAATTATATAATATAATTCATGTGCAAGACTGAGGATACTGTACAGGAATCAAACTCATGAACCATAACACGAAGCTATGGGAAAGAGTAATATATAGCCTACAAGATTACGTGAAGAAACACAAATAATAGAAAACTAGTTTTGATCTAGGAATTTCACGTGGCTTTCATCGACTTAAAAAATGCTTCGGCACAATACCACAAGTCATTTGCTGGAAGGTAGATTTGATGGGCGCTGAGAAAGGAAACGTTCCACATATGTTTAAATTATACGGAACATCTACGAAAGGCAGACAACAGTGCGCAGCGTATGTGGAGAACTGAAGAATTCTTGGCGAAGATGGATTTATACCAAAAAAAAATAATAATAATAAAATGNTACCCAATTCTCGAAGCGTGTCAGAGTGAATCCGTGCTATAAAAGTACCGTGTTATACAGGGGATGGTACCAATTCTCGAACCGTGTTAGAGCGAATCGTGCTATAGAAGTGCCGTGTTATAAGGGGGTTACCTGTACTCTACAGGGTGGTGAAAAAGTATGTCAACTGCTATATTTTTTTAAGACTATTTTAAGTAAAACAGTTGCAGGATATCATTCATAATTCAGTCATTAAAACGAGTGAATCGCTAGTACATACATGCATACATGTGAAAGAAAAGGCTGTACTCAAAGGTGTAGCCTTAAAAGATAAGAAAGATGGGTGAAGGAAGGAAGGAAAGTGATTTGAGGAAAAGTTAGGAAGGTGGGATGGTTGGAAGTTTGAGAGTGGAAAAAGGAGGAATTTTTACATACATAATCATGTAAAATCATGTAAAAGTAGTTTTTAATTAATGACTTTTTAAATTTACATTTTAGTAAAAAGGACAATAGTCGACCGTGGTATCGTGCAAGTGATGATGCAGAAAGAAATCAGAAAGCAAAAGCTGCTTACGATGCTTTATTGACTGTTACGGCAAGAATACCAGATACAAATGAATATGCGGAATTCTTCCGAGCTGTAAAAAGAATAGCCAAAGAAGAACGAGGATATGATTATGGTCTAGAAGAGGTACTCAGTTTCATCATATTAATTATATTAAAAATAAAAAGATTTTTCCTCGTTAGAATACATAATATTTGAAGCAGATTATTTTCTCAGAAATGTGAAATAATTGTTATAAGTTACTGAAACTTAATTAATTAATTACATTTATTGACGTCGTGCAGAATTTTACTATTGTGAAGTGCATAAGATATTAATGACATACATTATACTATCAGAATGTAAACAGTTAAATAAATTATAAACTATTAGAGTATATAATTATAGTAATGTATACTTTAAAAGTTAACACAATATTACCATACTCATATCTTACCATAGATTACATATTATTATTACACACACTGTAATAATCCTTAATGTTAACTAGAAGCATATAGTATTTTAAATTATGAAATTGTTCAAGTACATATACTGGTATATTAGTTAAATTTTTTTATTAAATATTAATAAATATTATATTAAATGTTATACATTAAGTGTATTCAATACTCTTGATCTATTATACAGAAAAACTATATAATTTTATAAGGATTTATAATCTTTTCAACTCATATTATTTTTTTCTGTTGATGGGTTTTACAATTCATTAAACTTTTAATTTTTATATTAAGTATTTTATAAATTATTTAATTAAATATTTTATGTTATTAATAACATTAAAATTTATAACACAACAAAATTAAACATTCAAACATAAACATTGTTACACGCTTAAAATATCCTATTTATATCAAAGCAACATTTACCTGGGAATGTCTGTGAAGTCTCAAATGATCTAATTTCTATGGATTAAGTGCAATCTGTAGTCTTTCCAATTGTTATAGTGTATACATAATAATTTTATTAGGTCTAAATTTGCCTGATATCACTTTCATTTAAATTAAAACGAAGAATTTATCAAAGATTTACGCTTTAAAAATAACATAATTTATGAATATAAATATATGTTTTAGCTTATTGCTCATAATTAATAATTTAAACAATGTAAATTTCCAGTTAAATCATTATTTTTTATAAAAAAAATTTTATTTTTTCGATGACAACAACAAAGTTATATATCAAATCTGTAAGTTGAACAATGTTAAAATATTTCTAGATCAATTGATATAAAATATTACTACGATGATAAATATTATATATTTATAACTAGACGATAGTAATAAATCTTGTATATATATATTATGCTTACACTGCCAACAGTTATTTCACAAAACAACAAAGTTTTAGTAATTTATAAAGTTTGTTATTGTTGAACCTTATGAATTATGGTTCACCCAGTGAAAAATACAAAAGCTACAAAAAGTTTAATAACATTTCTTGTTCTTTAAAATTACTGTCTATATAGGTAAATATTAATAACCTATATTAATTAAAAAGCTTCTTGCTTGTATTGTTTAATTACAAAACCTACTTATGACTAATGAACAGGCTTATTGTACACCCAGCCTATTTAATTGACTTATCCAAAGATGTATTTCGTTCTTACTAGCCTTTATCAACTGGATGATATACAAAATAGAGTCACCATTTACCTAGTTTAAAATCAACAATATACTTAGTGGTTATTCATCTAATATTCTTTTTATTTTTACCTTTATATAGGCTATATATATATATATATATTTTTTTTTTCAAACTAATTTACAAAAAATGTGGTAAGTACACATTTAAGATGACTCATTTAAACTGATATTTTGATGTAAAGCAGATATGTTGATACACATCTAACAGAAATAATACTGTCATATCTCATACTGGCTAATGTTTTTGTTAATGTTACAAAGATTAAATTGTTTATACAAAATTAGATGGTTTATTTTTAATTAAGAAACAAATATTTTTAAAAAAATCTGTTAACGTGGAAGCTATGATTAGTTTTACTTTATATTATTAAAATAAAATAAATTAATTATAATTTATTTATAAATTAATCGTAATTTCAAATCTACATTTCATGTTTTCGAGTTCTTTATTCTTGACTTCTAGTGACTATAAATTTAAATGATTTTTATACACATTTACATATTTGTTAACATTATAATGAAATTAAAAGAAAATTTTAATATTTATAAGACAGAAAATTAGAAAACATTATAATTTGTTCTCAGAATGTTTTGAAAATGAATCCCTTCCTCTTTCTCAAAACAAAAGCGAATGATTTATTTTTAATAAATAAATAAATATAGAGTATTAAAATATTTATTATGACTGAAAATAATATTTAATATTTATATTCTTAAAGAATAAACAATATTTTTTCTTTAATTGAAAATGTATTAATTAACATCTGATAGCATCTCTCGAGAATTCGGCATTTTCCCAAATAGCGTAATTAAGGTTATCCGGAAAGTAGAAAGTCGTGTGTAAGACTTAATAGGATCGTTCTTGTATTAATATGAGCAAAAGAAAACCTTCTGATAGAAAATTAGTGCTGTAGTTCAATACTTAATTAATGGAAGAAGCTTTTATACAGAAGAAATTTTTTCCATACGCAATTATAGCGAAGTAATAGAGAATTATAATCTATATTTATTACTGATTTATATTTCAAGTTAATAATAGAAAGTTTAAAAGAAAACAATGGCGAGATCTATTCAAATATGGACTTATGAGAAATTCTTTATTACAAATAGTACGAAATACGAATGGAATTTTATGTATATAAAATATATAAAAACATTAAAATCAATGTTTAATTACAAAATATCGTGTTTTGATTAAATGATAAACAGCTTATTTTCTGTTGAATTTCAGTATTTAATCAGAATTTTATCGTAAAAATTTCTAAAAGTCCTATAACTAAATTCATAATAAATTACATATTTATTAAAATGAGATTGTTTTTATCAAATAAATTCAATAAAATCTATTGTTAATGGCATATATTTTTTATTAAGTTGATATAAAATAATTTCATTATTATTATTATTATAAACTTTATTAGCAAAAAAGGAAAATTTCTCTGTTGCAGGGGGTAATACATATATTAAGTAGGAATTCACAAGAGTATTGGAACAGTTTTTTAAATTATTAAACTTATACAATATTTTAGAGTAGATTCCATATAAACATAAGCAAAAGAAACAGTTTTATCAGAAGTATTAATACAGAAACAATTATCTTTTATATAATATTAATACACATCAGGTTCCATCTTAGAGTTTTTTTTTTTGCAGTCCTACAATTTTGGTAAAGAAATTATACAATTTAAAAAGATATTTTTTTATTGAGGTTGTTTAAATTATTTCTAAAGTCGAGAGATGAATTGCGCTGGAGTATCCGCATAATGTCATATGAGTCACCCATGCTTACAAGGCCTTGACAATTCTGTAATAGATGATACATCGAGAAAACCTCAGATTTACACTATATTCATTGAGTGTTTGAAAAGTTCATATGATAACTTTTGTTTTTGTAGGATTTATTGTTAAGTGAATTGATATGAAGTATAAGTTTTGGTTAATTTTTCATTGAAAAGAGACTTTAATTGGAGCCAACCTCGATACCATCAGTAGATTTTTTGGAAAAGTTGGTCTATTCCGAGTAAATAAAAGTTAAATAAATAAGGCAAAAAGAGGGTCTCCTTGGAGTACGCCATGTGATAGGTCTAGTGGAAGAGATATAGTCTTACCCGGTTTAATTTTTATATTATATTTTAAAAATAATTTTAATATTGTTGATGACAATCGTTCACGTGCTCCTCTTAGCTTTCAAGATGTACACCAGTAAGGGAACGTAGACTGAATCGAAAACTTTCTGAATATCTATGAACGACGCATATACTTTTCTGTTTTTTAGTTAGGTGTAGTTGTATTAGCGATTGTAATAAAAAGATTTCAGATTCTGTTCCTTTATTTCTGATATAAGCGTAATGAAATTTGGCTTCCGAATCCATTACTTTAGTCCATTGTTGAAATTTGGCAGCTAATATTGTCGTGAAACATTTTCTCAAAGCTATAGGTCTATATTTATTTAAAGAAACTTTGTCACTCTTTTTATATATCATGGTAAGTATGATAGAGTTTCAAGAATCTGGATATGAGATTGCTTTGTACATTGAGTTAAGTAAATTCAATTGTTTTATTCTTGCTTGGTAAGGAAGTATCTTCAAGAATTTGGTTGTTGCCCGGGGTTAAGTTCTTTTGTGGAAACAATAAAAGTTTTGTTACTGTAGGAAAGTGATCACATGTAATAAATTCCAAACAACAGTTTAACAGAAATTCTGAACATATAGTATGATTAATAGTGGATTTTCCATTATGTTTTATACAGGTATATTCTGTAGGATAATCAGCTTAATACGTCCGTTTAGAGTATACATTTTATAGTCAGTTATTATTTCTATTAAGTTTACTCCCAGTCTATTGGCATGTTTATCTTTTGATTGACGGATGTTTTGAATTAAGGTATTGGGGGTTTTCTTATTTCATAATAGGATGGGAGTAAGTGTTTTCCTCTTTTTCTTGACTCCTTTGTAAGGTCTGGTGAAATTTGCATATTCTTCCAATCTTCCATTAGATTTTGTTGTTTTTTTTATAAAAGCAGTAAAAACTCGATCCCGGATCTGATTACAGTAGACCACCCTATAATATGGTAGACAATTCCGTGTTATATGAATCCCGTGTTGTACGAGTCACTTAGATTTTACAAGTACGTGAGCTGTTCACAGCCCAGCACACGTATTTGTAAAATCTAAGTGACTCATACAACACGGAATTATCTACCATGTTATAGGGGGTCTACTGTATTTCTAAGTGTTAATCTTATAACTGGGTTAGTTGACTTAGTTAATTAAGTTATATCTAAAACATCTTTCTGTGATACATTTTGTGAGTTCAATAATGACTTGATAAAATTATAAATTTCTAGTTTGGAGATATTTTTCAAAATGGTTTAATTATGCAATATATTATTATGATGGAGTTCGTTAACTAAAACATCCATCTTATATTGCATAAGTTCTTTTTCCGTTTTTAAATTATGGATTTGTTGTTTTATTAATA